TGGGGTGCGCAAGTCCTCCGAGGAGACTCTGTGCCCACAGGTACCTGTGTCCTGAATAAACCTCTTGCTGTTGCAACCCAAAGGCCGTGACTTGTCCTCCGTGGTTTCACTCTTACAATGCATGCCTGCTTCTCTGATATATGTGCAGCATATGTGACTGTTCCCCTGCGTACATGCATGCTCTGTGTGTGACTGTTCCCCCGGGTATACACAGCATATGTAACTGTCTCTTTGGCTGTATGCATGCTGTGTGTGTGACTATTCCCCTGGTTACATGCACAGTGTATGTGACTGTCTCTCTGGGTATACGCATGTTCTGTGTGTAACTGTTCCCCTGGTTACATGCACAGTATATGTGGCTGTTCCCCTGGGTATATGCATGCCCAGGTATGTACAGATTTGCTTACTTGCCCTGACAGATTCAGTAATTTCAGCAACTTCTAAAAGTCCCTGTTCCCTGGAGTACAGCCCCATCTTAGAGGGGACATCTTTTCCTTTCTTCCATCTCTAAGATGAGGCTGAAGAAGACCTGGGGTCTGGGGGTAATGATAGGCAGAGGAGAGAGTTGCTCAGGCTCCAGTCAGTTCCTGTGTCCTCGGAATGGTGACAGTCAGACCCTGGAGATAAACCAGGACCCCAAGACAGTGGAAATCAAAAGTTCAGGGTCAGAGAAGGTTATCCCCCTCAGGACCAAGCCCCCTCCCCGAAGTGAGGGGCCACCAGCACTCTCTAGTGGCTGTGATGTGTCCTGATGTAGAGCAGAGGTTGTGAGTCTGGGAGGCCTTGAGGAATAGGATAGTGGCGAGAGTTCCTGCTCGCCTTCCAGTAGGGCACTGCAACTCAGTCACCTTGCATCCTAATTAGCTTTAATCATCAACTTGACACAGCCTAGAGTCATCCAAAAGGAAACCCCTGCTTTGAGGAGTTATCTAGTTCAGACTGGCTTGTGGGCTTGTCTAGATTATTAACTGATGCAGGAGAACCAGTCCCACGCTTGAGTTATATAAGAAAGCTAGCTAATCATGAGCGAGCCAGAAACCACCATTTCTCCATGGCTCCTGCCTTGATCCCAGTGATGAACTGTGACCTGGCAGTGTAAGCCAAATGAATTCTTTCTGCCCCAAGTTGCTTTTGGTCAGTGTTCTATCACAGAAACTGAAAGTGACCTAGAACACCTTGTTTGAGGTGTTTGTGGTGGTGGGGATGAAGCCCAGGGCTTTCCACATGCTAGGCAAATACTCTACAACTGAACCTGTTTGCTTTTTATGTGTATGAGTTTTTTGCCTGCATGCAAGTGTATCACATATGTGCGATGCCTGTGGAGGTGGGAAGAGGGCGTCAGATCTCCTAGAACAGGAGTTAGTGACAGTTGTTAGCCACCACATGGGTGCTGGAAACTGAGCACTAGTCCCCTGCAAGAGCAGCCAGTGCTCTTAACCACTGAGCCATCTCTCCAGTCCCTGAACCTCTATGTTTAAACCATTACATCTCTTTCTAATTCCTATCACCAGACGCATCATCTCAACATGGTGTGGGTTTTATGGATTGTTTTAGTTTAGTTCTGTTGTTTTGATAATCAACTCTGACCAAAAGAACTTGGGGAGGAGAAGGTTTATTTGGCCTATACTTTCCGGTCACAGTCCATCATCGAGGGAAGTCAGGGCAGGAACTCAAGGCAGGAAACCTGCTTGTTGGTTCGCTTACTTACTTGTATAGCCCAGGACGACCTGCCAGAGGAATGGTACTGCTAAATGGGCTAGGTCTGCTTACATCGACAATCAAAATAATCTCTCACAGACCAACCTGATGTAGGAAGTTCCTCCATTGAGGCCTCTCAGATGACTCTAGGTTGTGCCAAGCTTACAGTGAAGACAAACGAGGACAGCAGAGGAATACTAGTCCCTGATAGTGAAATCGGGGTTCCATTTCACAGGAAGCCAAGGCTCATAGACGTGACCGACCCAAGGTTACCAAGCTACAATGTAGAGTACTGGGGCCTGGGCTCCCAGCGATGTTTTCCACACCCATGTCCAGATTTCAGGCCTTCTCCCAGGACCTGCAGGTGAGGGGTTCACATGTAGGGCTCACCACATCAGCCTGAGTTCCAGCTTTTCCTGGGGCCTGTCTCCTGTTCTGGCTTAGGCTTGTTCCTTCCTGTCTCTGCTTTTGAAATCCAGTACCAGCCTTCACTCCCTTACTGGTGTCATTTCCAGGAGCTGGCAGGCACTGCCACTCCCTGAGGGCCCTAAGGCCTAGTCGGAAGATCTTTAAGGAAGGCTTCCCATTCTTCCTCCCTCCCAACCAGTGGCTCTCCTAGACTCAGTTCTCGCCTCATCCTCATCCTGGAATTGCTTCCATCACACCCACCCCTGTTTTTTATTCTAACCATTTGCTTACATGTCTTTCCCCTCTGTATGGCTCTCTGAATACTTAGTCTTTAAAAATGAAAAGCAGGGAGGAGAGGTTGATACAGTTATTATTTGGTGCAATGAATAGCTTATGGTGTTTTGTGCATAACAAGGTGAGTATAGTTAATGATGATGCATTATATATCTTTTAAAATTTTTTTTGTCTTTTTGAGACAGGGTCTCCCTGTAGTCCCAGCTGACCTGAACTCACTATGTAGACCAGGCTGGCCTTGAACTCACAGAGATCTGCCTGCCTCTGCCTCCCGAGTGCTGAGATTAAAGGCATGCGCCACCACGCCTGGCTATCTTTTAAATTTTTTATTTTTTTCTTCTAAAATATTTACTATTTTATGTGTATGTGTGCATTGCCTGCAGGTGTGAAAGTACATGACTGTTGTGCAATGCCCGAGGAGGTCAGATGGTGTCAGAGCCTCTGGAACTGGAGTTACAGATGGTTGTCAGCCACCATGTGGGTGCTGGGACTCCAACCCAGGTCCTCTGCAAGGGAAGTCAGTGCTCTTAACCACTGAGCCATCTCTCCAGCCCCATTTATGTGTCTGTTATGACTGTATGTGTGTAAGTGCATCCATGTGGTGCAGCGCCCCGCATTATACATCTTAAAGTAGTTACAAGAGAGCACTTAGAGTGACCTCATCAAAAAGAAAGCACACAAGAGTCAGCTAGATGGCTCAGCAGATAAAGATGCTGGCCCTCAAGTCTGAGGACCTGAGTTCAATCCCCAGAACCCAGGTAAAGGTGGAAGGAGAGAACTGGCTACCCAATTCTCTGACATCCACTGGTGCCCTTAGCATCAATGTGCCCCTCCCCAATCATATACACAGAATACAATTAGGGCTGGAGAGATGGCTCAGTATTAAGGGCACTGGCTGCTCTTACAGAGGACCACGGTTCGATTCCCAGCACCCACACAGCAGCTAACAACTGCCTGTAACTCCAGTTCCAGGGGATCAGACAACTTCTTCTGATCTCCTCAGGCATTGCACAACACAGGTGTACTTATATACATGCAGACAATACACTCCTACACATAATTTTTTTTTAATTCTAAAAAAAAATGACACAAATTTAAAGTGATGGATAATGCTAATTGCCTTGATCGATCACTGTTGCTGCAGACATGAATCAAACATTATCTTGAGTCAGGCTGCTGGTACACACCTGTAATCCTAGTACTCAGGAGGCAGAGGCAGGAGGACTGCCCCAATCTGAAGCCAGTCAGGGCTTCATAGCATGACCCTGTCTCAAGAAAACCGAAGCAAGCAAGCAACCAATCAAAACACCCATATTATACGGACTGGGGATGTAGCTCAGTGGATAGACTGCTTGCTTGCCTAACATGAAGGACATGCTTAGTTTGATCCCCAGCACCACATGAAACCTGAGCATGATGGCACACTCCTGTAATCCCAACATTCAAGAGAGTGGAGGCAGGAGGGTCAGAAGTTCAAAGTCATCTTCCAACTACATAGTTCCAGGCAGGCTCAGGCTACATAACACACTGCTTCAAAAACAAAACGAAACAAACAACACGTATTACATTTTTCCACACAAATATGTGCATGTACAAGTTAAAAGTTATTTTAAAAAGGGAGGCACGGCCGGGCGTGGTGGCACACTCCTTTGATCCCAGCACTCGGGAGGCAAAGACAGGCGGATCTGTGTGAGTTCGAGGCCAGCCTGGTCTACATAGTGAGTTCCAGGACAGCTGGGGCTACAGGGAGACCCTGTCTCAAAAAGACAAAAAAAATAAATTAAAAAAAAGGGAGGCACAACTTCTGATTTCTTTTTTTTTGGCTTTCACCATGAGCTCATTAGCCCCACAAAACTGCAGAGTCACAGTGTCACTGTTCTCTGTGGGGGTAGGCTGGAGCCAGTACACAGGGTGCTGGATCCAGAGCTGGGTGGGGTGCATGGCCCAGGGGCTGCACACTGGGAGCTCCCCTGCCCCTCAGGAGATGAGAGTGTTTCCACTTGAGGATCTTAGAGTCCTGGGCACAGGGTGCTGGATCCAGAGCTGGGTGGGGTGCATGGCCCTGGGGCTGCACACTGGGAGCTCCCCTGCCCCTCAGGAGATGAGAGTGTTTCCACTTGAGGATCTTAGAGTCCTCCTGGGCTCTTTGGCACTTGGAAAGTGAACCCCCCATTTCCTGCCCCATAGGAATGGGGTTGGGGAAGGACTTGGCACTGGCTGTGGGAGAAGTTATGGCTCCATCTGGCCTCTGGGCACTCACAGAAAGGAGGGGTGTCACCAGGACAAGCCCCTGTGTGGGATCAGGGAGAGGGTCAGGAGGTCAGGGGTCATGAAAGGAGAGTTCATAGGGTAGAGGGGTTTGCTGGAAATTCCTGAACAGGGACAAGGAGGCAGGGCCCAGCCTGACAGTGGGAAGGCCCAAATCAGCCATCACTCAGCTGTCACACATGGTAGCCGGTGTTTGAAAGGGAGCAGGCGGTGTTTGGCCACATGACTTTCACCAGTGATCCTTGGTTGTGGTAGGGGGCATAAGTCTCTGCCCCAGCCAGCATCCCTTGATGTCCACAGCAGCTTCACCTTCCATGCGCCCAAATCAGCCATCACTCAGCTGTCACACATGGTAGCCGGTGTTTGAAAGAGAGCAGGCGGTGTTTGGCCACATGACTTTCACCAGTGATCCTCGGTTGTGGTAGGGTGGCATAAGTCTCTGCCCCAGCATCCCTTGATGTCCACAGCAGCTTCACCTTCCATGTATGGTCCACAGTGATGTCCGAGCAGGAGTCAACACGAAGTGAACCGAGTCCATCCAGGAAGAACTGTAGATGTGCCACGCGGCTGAGGCGTGGGTCAAAGCCCACTTCTCGCACCTTGTCCGTGCGCGCCAGGCCACGCCATCCGTGACCACACAGCTTGGGAAGCCAACTAGCTCGTGGTGGAAGCCGCGCTTTTGCCGCAGGCAGTTCCCAAGGCCGGGAGCACAGGGTTCCACGCTCAGCAGCTGCCGGTAAGTGGTGGCAAAGCCTATATCGCGCACCGCGCCCCCAACCAGGTCCAGCTGCGTCCGCTCTAGCACGTCCACAAGCTTTTCCAGCCGCGTGCGCGCCGTAAAGACAAAGTCATCGTCCACCCACAGCACGTACTTGGTGGTCACTTGAGACACGGCCAGGTTCCCACCTGCGAACCAGCCCTTGCCAAAGGGCATGAGATAGTGCTGCACATGGGGGTCGCTAATGCACTCTGGTTTGTCGCTGTCGTCTGTGATGACTATGGTGACTGTAGAGTAGAAGCGTCGGATGCTGGCAATGAGTGTCCTTAACCGACCATAACGAAGAAAGGTCTCGGTGGCAATGGTGACCATAGCATTGATGTTGCAATGGGCTTCCTGGGGTAGAGATGCAGGTGGGTACAGCCGGGGTTGGGAGGATGTCTTATGCAGATGGTGAAGGCAACTTTATGTCCCTTGGTGGAGAGCTGGACTGTGTCTGCCTTGTTGGTCTGGTAGCTTCAGCTGCTGTAAGTGACCAGTTGCAGCTGTCGGTTGAGTTTATCCAGTCCTGGG